GATGTGAATTGTTAATGTAATGATAAAATACTTAGTAGAATGGATGTGTGAGCCATTCGTAAGCAACGGTCGCCACTCGAGGAATGACTAAGACCGGTCTTCGTACCCGACTTGGTCGGGGTTTTGTCTTCATACCCGACTTGGTCGGGGCTTTGTGCCTGAGGAGACAGGGCTTTGTGCCTGAGGAGTCAGGGCTTTAAATCCTAGTGATGGGTCACAAGACACACTCTACTAGGCATTTGATCATAAGTGCGTGATAGTGTGACATTTAACCGACAAAAATATTGATTAAAATAGATATAAGTAATATTAAAATTAAAGATACTTATCTTTTTGAAGTGGGCTGAAATTGTGGGCTGACTGGAATGAATAGCATCCAGCAGAATTCCTTAGGCCCATTTTCATTCGTGAACCGACACCATATTAGTGGTAATTTAGTGCTGCCTGGTGTAACACCCCGGCCCCGCAGTCTCCGAGGTAGTTACTCCGGACCAATAGTACTGTCCCCATAAACCACCACGAGCCTTTACCGCGCACTTTGTCCTCACTCATGCGCGCCCTGAGAAACTTCCCAGGGGGTCACCCATCCCAAGACTACTCCCGTGCAAGCACGCTTAACTTTGGAGTTCTTAGCGAATGAGCTCCCGTAAAAGGAGATGCACATCTGTTGGTATGAGTAGTACTATTAATCCGTTTATATTAAATCTCAAGTGTTACACCTGGCCCATAATAATTTGCAACAGTTGACTTCCCAAATAATGCTAGGTGCTCCACTCATCTGTACTCTCATTTAATTTGGATCATTCGTATGTGGTTGGCTCTCAACCAAACAAAGAGCATCTTTTGAAGAGGCAGATGAAACAACCCCTCCCCAAAGCAAAAAGTACGTTTACAGAAGGCAGCTGCAGCGGGACAGAGGCGGCGAGAGGAGGTCAAACATGTGGTTCGACTTGTCATGGACCAGCGCCTCCGCGAGAAGCCGATGCGCCGCCGCAGCGAGCTTGGGCGTGTGTCAGCGAGTGGGCTTCGGGGACCAGATGACCTGGCCGGAGAAAACGCCGGTGAATGGCGTGGTGTAGTTGTACGTCGGGTCCACGTGGACGTGCACGTTGTACAGATCCGTCGGTGTGTCACGGAAGAAGAGCTCCCACAGCGGCGCAAATGGCACCGGAGTGGTGGTTAAGAACATGTAGACCAACTTCCTGAGCCTTCCGGTAGGATTTCCAGCAGCCTTCCGCCGTTCTCTAACCCGAACCGGCGGGGTTCCGGTTTTCTTCGACCCGTCAATGAAGGGCAGAAGCTGGTGAAGCGGCTGCCTTCTCCCGGCCGGCGGCGATGACGGAAGAAGTAACGACTTGAGAGGCACGCCGCGCGCCGGACTGGGCCGGATCTTGTTGCTCGCTTGCTGCTCAGTTGACCAGTCAGTTCCGATCTGACCGGAACTGCTCCAGATCTGGAGAGTTCCATTTTTTTTTGAAATCCAAGATTGTTCTTGGATGGATTTTTACGTGATTGGAATGAATTTTTGGTATTTTGGGGAGGTTTTCTCACTTGATTGTGTTCAACCTCTCAACGAGAGCACCATTGTTGGATAATTGATACCCATATTGTATGAAAAGGGGATTGAACAAGAGTGAAGAAGAAATGATGAAGAAGAAGGAAATGTGTATAGGATGAGTATTGGTTATATGAGTTACAAGCCTCCTATAAGGAGTATATATAGGGAAAATCCGGGTCCGGGCCTCTAATATGGGCCTGACAGACCCGGTTACATAAATGGACTGATAGTATAAAAAGTTAATCTAAAACATTTGAATAATAATAATAATGTACAATAATATTAATGATATCTGCTAAACGTGTGTGGGCTGCTGTCCAAGCCTAGTAGTCGGCATACCGGGGGGTCGGAGTCCATATAATCCATCAGTAGTAACTTCATCATAGTAACTTATGTTTATTTTTTTGCACTTAATTAACTGACTATGAGATTAAACCGTAGTAGCTGACCGTTATATTTTTGTAAATAAAGTTTATTTCGATAATATTTTTAAAACAACTCTTAAAACTTTTGTAATAAAATTTTGAATCATATCATATGTATGTTGGTAATACAAATTTAGAAGCACCGAAATCTATGCCTGGTTACGGTAGTTGGTTTTTGTTTCTTTAGCCTTATCTTTAGAACCATCAAGGCTATGAGCATGTTTGGCAGACATAAGTCTCTACCTTCTAGCTTTTGTACTGTTCAAAACGTCTCTAAAAGCTTCTAGTTGTATGTTTGGCATGACAATTTTCAAGAGTTTTTCAAAAATTAAAAGATCTTTTTTTAGATGCTACATGGGGTAGCATCTGAGAAAAGCCCGTGACTTTTAGTACTAATTCGTCCTAACAGCTTGTATACCAAACAGAACTAAATCAAACAGTCAGCTTTTTACCAAACAACTACCACATTTTCCTTATAAGATCTTTTCAGTCACTAAAAACTAACAGTTACTAAAAAGCTCACAAAAGTATCTTTTCAGCTAGTTGTGCCAAACATATCCCTATGTTTGGCGGACATAAGTCTGTCTTCTAGCTTTTGTATTGTTCAAAAAGTCTCTAAAAGCTTCTAGTTATATGTTTGACATTAAAATTTTAAAAGCTTTTCAAAAATTAAAAGATCTTTTTTGAGATGCTACAGAGAGTAGCATCTGAAAAAAGCCCGTGACTTTTAGCATTAATTAGTCCTAACAACTTGTATACCAAACCGAACTAAATCAAACAGTCAACTTTTTACCAAACAACTACCACATTTTCTTTTTAAGATCTTTTCAGTCACTAAAAGCTAACAGTTATTAAAAAGCTCATAAAAGTATCTTTTCAGCTAGTTGTGTCAAACATACCCCAAATTTCACTCTTTTTGCTTGTCATAGAATAAACACTGTATTAAATAAAAAATAGTTTAGTATTAAATTATAATTAGGTATATCATACTTCGTAATTGTTATGAAAAATAGCCTTTTATATGCTCAAAAAGATCTATTTTTCTACCTGAGTTTTGGCTTTGATCGATTTGTGTAATGGTGGCCTGGTGGTATGTATAGAAATTTAGTAAAGTATGTGAGAAATAATACTCTCACATAAACTTGACCATAATTTTAAATTTTGCTCTCATAAATGATCCAGACAAACCCGCAAGACACCTTTCTATACTCCGTAGTTACTACTTTTTCTTTTTCATTTTGGTTGGTGTGATAGAATGCTATCATGTATAACAAATACCCATAACATTAATAGTTGTTATTTGAAAATTTAGTGCCCCATATACTAAAGGGGCCCTAGGCATATGACTAGGTGCCTTACCCCTATAGCCGGTTCTGTCACAACCCTTTCATTGATAAGAATTTGAGAATGTAAGGTTATATATTTTATATATAATAATCTAGTCGATGAGGTACATGTATAGGTGTCTTTAAAATGTTTCTCTTTGGTCTTCAACATAACACGCACGGCTACAAAGACAATGCACTCAGATAAGTGATCAAATAAAATAAACTCAATAAACACATCTTATAGGCAGGGTCCATGATACTACACTCTTACCTACAATTTCATATCTTTTGTAACTATTTAAAAAACAATATGCTAGAGTCAACACTTTGTTGAATGTAAAATCCCCCAGCCCCAGCCCCCACAGAATGTAAATATCCCAAAATACTCCCTCTGTCCCTAATAATGTTGCCAACTTTGACTGACACATAGATTGATAAAGTAAAAACTATGTGATTGAGGTTTGTGCAGAGGAGAGAGAATTAACTGAAACCACAAATTATTTACTTAAAAAGGAAAGTTGCAAAGTTAATGAGACATCCAAAAAAGGAAAGTTGTCAAAATTATAAGGGGCGGAGGGAGTATCAAATTATTATCTTCACCTCAAAATGTATAAGCTCGTAGGAAAACTCCCTTGGTGATCTAAAGTCAACCCCACATTCTATTCAAACTATATTGGTTTTCTAAATGATTAATATCAGACTAAACAACCATCATGTTGGGCATTTGAGCACATTGACAAATATACATCATACAATCTTGTATCTGAACCTTCATATCATGGGATTTGGAAAGATGCTAACAATTTTCATTCACATTATCACCATGCTTATTTTAATACGGGAAGATATTAAACTCTTCAGAAGGGGTTCTTTTTCATTCTATATATTTATTTGTGGGTTTATTTACGGTATTTTTGTAGGTTATATATATCGATGTATTGACTAATGAAGGAAATAAGGTAGGATTTCATGAGGCTAATATGATGTGTTGGTTATTCAAATTGGTTGAATCGAATGAATTGTTGCAATATGTGAATTTGGTTTAAAACGACTAATTGACTGGATCTGATAAATTAAGAAAAATTTATACTCCGAATTGTGTGTGTGTGTGTATTGTACCGCATCCATTCCTTAAAACTTGGTCAAATTTCATTTTTTTTCCAAAAAAATTTGTCATTTCCATTTAAGGTAACAATTGTGTGACTGAAGTTGTTTCTCTTTCCTCTACACAAATCTCAACCACACATACAGTTTTTACTTTATTATTCTATGTGGAAGTCAATTTTGGTCAAGTTGTATGGGACAGGGGGAGTATTCAATATAGCAAACAAAAAAAATTATTCAAAATACTTTTTAAAAAAAAAATTAGGCAAAAAGTAAACAAAACTATATTTATTATGATTATTACAAAAATTGGCATGTCAATTAAAAAGCTTAATTTTTGGTAAAATATTAATCGATAAGGCTGATAAAATTAAACAAAGTCAGTAGTTGCCAAAGAGGCGATTATAACTACACAAATGGAAGAAAATTTATCAATATTATATTGTTTCTAAAATGTACACACTGATGGTAGCAAGTAGTGGCGTAACCAAAGAGAAATACTGGGGTGGATCAACAGAACAATATTTTTTATTGGTAGTTGGTAACATTAGTGTATTATTATTATATTAGGACTTCACTCCCTAGTGCCTCAACAAAATCAGATTGATTTATTTATTAATCTTAAAGTAAGAAAACTCGTTATCAATAAATCTAAAGAGTAAGATGTACTTGTGTAATGACAAACTAGGCAAACGTTGTCACATTTATTGTGTACGTTGCAAAAAAAAATCTCCAGAACCCCCTGCTAATAAGACAAGTTGTACTCTTGTTGCAAACTCGTAAATTAACAAGCAACATAGATAAGAATTACACAACTTTGAGTTCGTTAAAGATTGATAACATCCGTTAGTTTTTGTTGCAAGGCTTGCAGATTAATGTCTTCCTCATCAGAAACCTGCAAGTATATCATATTCAATTAGAAAGTATAAAACATGTATACTTGAAAATAAACGAAGTATATAAATAGAAATATATTTAAACAATAACACACGTTTTAAATGAATAAGATTTAATAGATCATAAGAAAGTAGGAATACATTTAAATAAGATACGAATAAAAGCATTGCAACATTAAAACAAGCTACAAACAATGAAGCAATACATTAAAACAAGGTACATATATGATTCAGTCGTGTTGTGCTCTTCTTCTTAGACACATATTCATCTCATTGTGGGACTTTATATCTTGATGTCCTACTACTCGAGAAGCTTTGGATGAGTATGTAGGCATTAAAAGAATGAAGTCAATTTTCGGCCACTCACCCATAGTTGTATGAAAGGACCACAGTGTGACGTGTTTTCTACATCAATTCATAATCTATTTTCGAAGGATGTCTAGAAAGATATATCTGGCTTGATGCACATCATACTAGCAAGACACCATTATGAAAAGAGTTGGACTACTTTGTTGAAAGTTTCCTTGAAAATGGTGGTAATTGGCAGCATCTTACATCACTTGAGTGCTTTGTTGGAACTTTCTGAAAGATTTGTTATTAAGATTCCATAACGACAACCGTTGTCATAACAGAGTTCCCTTTTTTCTTAAAGCATGTCATTTAGATACTTGAATGCCCTTTCGTTAGTACCCCAAATTTGTTGCATGAAAAGGTGAAATTCATTTACAATTGGGGTACTTCGCGCTCACAATCACAAGTTCTTTAGTTGTTTGCTTCTAAATTGAGACATTAAATTTCTTCTAATATATGTAAGACAGTATTACCTCTAAATTCGAGGTATTCCCAATTCTGGCACAACTCGGATGCATAATATATAACCACATGTCAACCGGAGATGATGCAAACATCCTAATGTGGACCTGTGTGTATCGCAGGCAAATGTAAAACTCATATCATCTTTGCCCCATTTTCACTATCTACCACTTCAAATGATGGAGGGTAAAGATATCAGGGTTTGAATTCATTGTCGCCGTAACTAGAAGATGGCCTTTGTACTTTCTATACTAGTGAGTTCGATCAATACAGATCATCGGAAGACAGTGATTGAACCCATCAATTGTTGCTTTCAATGACCAAAACATGAATTTAAATTTGTATATACCTTGTGTGTTGGTGTTATGACTTTTGAGGTCAATGATGGTCCATGGGATAGTATAGGTCGCATCATTGCTTGCAGAAGTTTTGGAAAATCATTGTATGTCGCTCCCAATTTCCGAACTGTTTCTCCATTGTCAATATACACCACATTTTCTTATATCTGACGTGAATGTTGAGCTTGTGGCATATGTCATGCATTATTAGCTTGATATTGTACTTTGATTTTATGTGAATCGTGCAACTGATTTGAGAAATGATGAGTTTAATTGTTATGAGTTTATTTCTCTAAACTCTTGTATGTTTTGGAATGCAATTATGGTGGAGTTTGTATTACTTGACATTCAACAAGTTTGTACTCTTCACTTCTGGTGCTTGAACATGCCATGTAATGATGGATTCATATAGTCTGCCAACATTTAAAACGTTTAGCCTCACTCTGGAATGTTTAAATTCTTTCTAGTTCTAAAAAGGGTTGGTTTCCTAGAACCTACTTCCCGTGCCAAATCTAGTTATACAAATATCTTATTGAACCTACTTCAATGTGTTATTGCAGACGATATACGGGTTCCACGAACAACTCCTCATCATTGTGTGAAGTTGTCCAAGAAGAGTCACGATGAAGAGGGGTTGTTTGTGGAACACAAGTACTGCCTGCAAAAGCACATTGAAGTGGATTCAATAAATGATTCGCGTGTAGAACTCAAGGAAGTTGCATGTTTCAAAACTTGAAAGAATTATAAACATTCTGGAGTGAGAGGCTAAACATGCTTAATACGGGAAGGTGAACCAAATCTATCATGAGATATGTACGTTTGAAGTCAAGCATCACAAGTGAATAGTACAAGCTCTTGGGAAGTCAAGCACTATCAATCCCATCATAAGTTCATTCCAAATTATACAAGTGGTAAGAGAGACAAACTCTTAACAAGTAAGTTCATTGCTTCTTAAATTAGTTCTATGATTCACATAATTAAAGTCGGAATACAGTACCAAGCTAATAATGCATAAGAAAGTGTGGTATGCTCGTACATTGGCATTGGAGAAACGGTTTGGCAATTTGAAGATAGCGTACAACGATCTCCCAAAAGTCCTGTAAGCAATGACCTACATTAACTCAGACACCATTATTAACCTAAATAGTGATAACATCAATACGAAAGGTATGTATATAAATTTAATATTACATTTCGGTCAATGAAAGCAGCCATAGATGGGTTCAATCACTACCTTTCGGTGGTTTGCATTGATGGAACCCACTTGCACGGAAAGTAAACGGGCTATCCTATTCATAGTGGCAATGAGTGCCAATCGCAAAGTCTAACTTTTGGTGTGGTAGATAGTGAAAATGGTGCGAGCTGGGCATGGTTCTTACATTTTATTGCAACACACATTATAGGGCCACATTAGATTGTTTCCATCATCCCAGATCGATATACGGCTAAAAATTGTGCATTCTAGACTGTGCCAAAATTTGGAACACCTCAAATTTAAAGGCAATATTATCTTTGACACATTAGAAAAAAATTCATGTCCCAATTTAGAAGCGAATTACTAAAGAAATTGTGATGGCGAGTGAGAAGTACCGCGATTGTAAATGAATGTCACCATTCCATGCAACATATTCAGGGTACTAACGAGAGAGCATTCAAGTATCTAAATGGCATTCCCTAAGAGAAGTGAGCACTATATTATAATGACTATTGACATTATTGTACTCTACCAATAAATCATTCAGGATGTTTCAACAATTCCGTCAATGGATGTAGGACATTGCCAATTACCGTCCTTGTTAGGGAAACTTTCCACAAACTATTCCAGCTATATGCACAATAGCTTACTTAGCTTACTGCTAGGTATGATGTTGCATCATGACATACATCACTGTCTAGATAATATTCAGAAAGAGATTGTGTCTTGATAACAATAAATGCATCACATTGTGTTCCTTCCACATAACCACTACACATGAGTGTACTCATTCGTCATACACAAAGCAACACCACTTCTGGTCTGTCGAGGCGTGAATGTGAATGCGGTTGTTGGAGGATGAAATTGATGCCATCATAAATGGGGATGAGCAAATAGGTCCTGGAACCGCAGGTCGGGGTGGGTAATAGCATATCGGGAAAAGTTATCGACAGCTCCTACGCTTAAGATAACCAAACGGGGCGGGGCGGGTTATAAATAATATAGGGACGGGCCAGTTCCCAAATTAAAAAAATGGGTGCTTAAACCTGTCGTTAAAATTTATAATTTTCCTTTACAATTACCCTAACCTGTAGCACATCAACGATATTAAGACCATATGTTTTCTTTTACGATTATCTAAAGAGAACTTAAAGGAAGAGTTATGAACGAAGATTTGTCTACGAAGAGTCCCGCATTCTCTATTCTTAAGAGCGACGTTGTAAACCAAGAGTAGTGAGCGACCCTATGACAATCCCAATCGAAGACGCCTTCATATCGAGGAGTATAGGTTCATTTTTTATCTAAACTTTTTAAAATAGGGAAAATGGAAACAAATAATCCAACCTTTTAGCGGTCGTCTTACAATAGTCCCACCTTTTCATTATTCAAGAATACTCCAACCTTTGCACCCCATCTTCATTCTATGGTCCCTGACCGGTTAATCACCTGCTATTCCAAGTTATTCTCTTATCTTTGCAAAATATTATCTTTGTGAGAGGTGAAATTTATGGTATAATGGTTTGTAAAAATAAGAAAATAACTTGGAATAGCAGGTCATCAACCGATCAGGAACCAGTGATTGAAGATGAGGTGCAAAGATTGGATTATTCATGAATAACGAAAAGGTGGGACTATTGTAAGAAGACCGCTAAAATGTTGGATTATTAGTTTCCATTTTCCCTTTAAAATATATAATTTGTCTTAGCTTTGATTGAATTGATATATGTGAAAGGTTAGCTAAATTCTACAATGATTTGGTTTTGGTATATATCATATATGTGAAGACCTTTTCTTACAGTTTAATCACTCAATATTTTATTTCATCTTACATATTAGTTTAATTTTTACAATTTTGCAGCTTACTATTTTGTACATTTTGCAGCTGTTTGTATACATGTTAAGACTTTTTTTCTTACATTTGGTGGCTTACTGCCTACTACAGATATGGATTATTTTCATATGTTAAGTTTAGCCATTTCAGTGTTATTTAAAGACATAAAATGCAAGATTCTGCAATGATTTAATTCTCAGTTTATAATGTCACACTGAGATGCTGACACGCTCATAAAATTAAACTTTCTACAAAATCTAAAATTGATGTCTTAGAGCATCTCCAATGGTAAAATGTGCACGGTGCACACGTGGCATGAGAAATAGTCACATAAATATTAGTAAATAAATTCTTTCTCTCCTTATTTGAATGATTTTATATAATTTTGGTAAGTTTTTCTCCGCACTGTCAAGGAGACTGTCTAGATGTTGACATTGTTGTTGACATAGGGAAAAACTTAGCAAAATTGTATAAAATCATTCAAATAAGGAGAGAAATAATTCATTTGCTAATATTTATGTGGCTATCACTCATGCCACATATGCAACGTGGACATTATAGCATTGGAGATCTCTTGACCGATAGCAATTGCAACTTTCTATTTCTCGTTACATATCAGTTAACCAATAGAAAGTTCGTTGCATATGACTCGCGTTGATTAACTCGAAGAAAATCAAGGCAACACCAATTTTTACTTCTATGTATACTTTAAACTCACGTTTATTCCACCTACATATGAATTATTAAACTAAAATTTTGTCTCAAAATCATTTGGTTTTTTTAATACTTCTATTATACATAGCCAAGTCTGACCCCCTCAACACGATTTTTCGACTCCACAACTAGATAGATAGATGTAGTATATTTTTGTTGAGAATTAATTAGTTGTATATGATGTTCCGACTACAATTTTGTACTCTCTTTCCACGCCCCTTATTTCAGTTAGAATCCATGGTTCCGACTCCCGCTTATTGGTTCCCTAATTTGATATCCGGAGCTTTTGCATGTCGGACAAAAAAGCTCCGCTATTTCATTATTTCCTCAGTATTGAATGATTTACTATCTTGATATATTATCATAAAAGGACAAACAATAAGAAATGTTTATCAACAGAAGAGGACACTTGATATAAAACAGAAACTTGTAATTAAAATATAAGTAGTAGTTTGTGACTTTTCGGCCATTCATGGATATATGGTATGTACCTCAGCCTGAAGCCGGTGAAGCAACCTATTATCCACCGTCGTGGAATCGCAGCTCACAACATCAAAACCGCCGTTTTCCAGCGTCCGTAGCACTCTTGACAATGGAAACCGCCCCCTCCCGCCACCGTCAAAACCGATCAGAACCTCAATGCCGCTCCGGCAACGGCTAACCGATACGAAATCCCGGGAACCCGCGGTTACGATCTTTTTATCCAACCTTCCGTTTTTCTCCGAATCTTGGGAACCCGATGTCGTCGTCTTTAACCTGTCTCTCTTCCGACCCAATTCTTGAATGCTTTTCTGCATATGTTTTATGTAGTTCAATGCCTCGTGCATATGATCCGACGTCGAGCGCTTACCCTGTCCTCAAAATTATGAAGTAATAAAGTGTTATATTAAGATTTGAGCTTACGAGTCAAACAAATTCGTTTGACCGAAATTCAAATTACCTTTACATATTCGACAGGGAGGAGAGAGCGGAGAGAGGCGTAGAGGGTGGCCATTTCTTGGCGGCGCTGCCGTTCGATTTCCCGATGCATAATTCTCTTCAGCTTGTTGTTGTCATTCGCTGTTGTGGCGGTGGCGGTGGCTGTCGCGGTTGTTGCGGTGGCTGTGGTTGGTAATACTTCATCTCTCTGTAACCGCTTCCTTGATGAAGTGGCGTTTGCGGTAGCGGTTGCGGTGTAGTGGTGGCCGTGGAGGTGGTCGGAGGTGGCATCTAGCGGGGGATAAGTATAAATATAATTATTGTTATGATCGGAAAACAGATCTTGGGAGGGCTTGTTTTGATGGGAAGGGATATTAGGATTGGAGAAAATTTGGAACAACAAATCTTCACTTCGAAACATGGCTCCAACTAAAGCAAACAAATCATTTAGTTTATGAAACTTTGTTATATATACTAATTCTATCTATATAGTAACTTTTGAGGTTGTTGTAAACAATTATAGTACCATATCAATTAAAGGTAGCAGATGACAAAGTAGTTAGGATTGATCAATTTTTAGTTAGAATGGCCATTTATATATCATTATTTATTTATTGCTTCTGATCTCTCACTTTTTTCCATTTTGTATGCAGAGTAGTATGCCACCATGATTTGCAGCAGAGAGCAGAAATAAACTAGACGATGTAGTCACTGTCTGACCTCACCCAATCGATCTCCGGGGCCCCACCCAATAATGTACGTATTCCACTTTTTTAAATGCAATTCATTTACACCTGTCAAAATTATGGGATCCTTTTTTGAGATTTTGCATTTAATAAAGAAATCAAGACACTCTATTGGTCTCACAAACTTTAATTTATACTACCTAAGTTTGGCCAACTTCTCTTGTTTAGGTGTTTCAATAGATATCAATATTTTCGATTACAAAAAATGTGACTAAAGTGATTAAGTGATGAGAGCAAAAAAAAATAGTGATTAAGTGAAGTAATTTCAATCACATTATTCATACTTTTTTATTCCACATGTATATCAAGTTGGGGGGAATGTATGGAAACATCCAATAATTGAGTCAAATGGAAACCAGACACATAACATAACATAAAAACTTAGATCTTGAAAGTTGAAACTTAATTCTCTTGAGTTTCCCCCCCTATGTTTGTCTAGGGTTTCTTGGCAAATTTTCTACGCTGTCTTTGAGGGCTTAACAAAAGTATTGTAGACCAAATTCCCAGTGCGTAATGGCATCCGATTCGACGACAATTGAAGATTTGTATGCCAAGTTGTCACTAGAGGAGGAGGAGGATGAAGGTTTGGATGTGGGAGCCGAAGAAGCTGAAGGTGTGAAAGAAAATTTAGCGTTGGCGGTTGTTGGAAGAGTGTTGACTGACAAACCTGTGAAATTCACTTACTTTCGAGACACAATAGCCAATATCTGGCGACCTGCAAAGGGAGTTCATATTAGAGAGATTGGAGGTCAGAGATTTCTATTCCAATTTTTTCATGAAGCGGACATTCAGAGAGTCATTGAAGATTCCCCTTGGGCATTTGATAGAAACCTTATCATACTTCACAAATTAAATCCTTTTGACAACCCGTTGCAATGCCCGTTAATGCATTCGGAGTTCTGGGTACAAGTACATAATTTACCCTTAAATCTGATGACAAAAAACATTGCTCAGTTGATCGGTAACAGATTAGGAACTTTTGTGAAAGCTGACGAGAAAAATTTTGAAGGTCCAGTAAAGGTTTTTCTGCGTATAAGGGTTTCACTTGATGTTAGCACCCCTCTCAAGCGTCGCATGAGAATTTATCAAGGTCCTGATTCGGTATGGGTTGAGTTCAAGTATGAGAGACTTCCTCTCTTTTGTTTTATATGTGGCAAGTTGGGTCATACTGATCGGTACTGCTCCATACATGTTGAGGGAGGTTGGGATGGGAAAGAAAAACCATACGGAACGTGGTTAAAAGCAGGGGGCAGGAAAGATCTAGATGGAAAAAGAAGTCCGTGGTTAGTCTCTGGAGAGGCGTTAGGTGGGGCTAAGGGTGACTTTTTTAATAATACAATGGGTGCAAAAGGGAGGAATGATGAAGGCGGTAGTCAGGGGCAGGTGAGAGGCGGAGTTCAAGGAAGGGGTCGGAGCTATGCGGGTGAAGTAGGTATATCAGGGACTGTGGCACAGAGCAGCCGGGGAGAGCTTGATACACAAGGGCACCATGCTGTGGGAAAACGCAGGAGGATGGATATGGAGGCAGTAAGGCCACTTGGGGAAAGCTTGACACAGAGTTCAAAAAACTTGCTAGAGGCGGGTTCTGCTGGGCAGGCCCGCCTAGAATCATGAGTTGCTTTAGTTGGAACTGTCGGGGGCTTGGCAACCCATCGACAGTTCAGGTTCTGGTGGATGTGGTCCACTCCAAGCGGCCGTCTCTTGTCTTCCTCATGGAGACATTCTCAAAAACTCCTCAAATTATGAGTGTTGCACGAAGGATTGGTTTTAATAACTGGTTTGTAGTAGATTGTGTTGGTCACCAGGGTGGGCTTGCTCTCTTGTGGAGAGATGGAGTAAAGGTGGAGATTACTGGTTCATCAAGCAACTACATTGATACAAGTGTCAGGCTGGAAGCAGAGGACTCCCCCTGGAGGTTTACTGGCTTTTATGGTTTTCCCGACAGAGCACGGAGGAAGGATTCTTGGAGCCTACTGCGTCACCTTAGTTCACTGTCTTTACTTCCATGGCTTATCATGGGGGACTTTAACGATATCATGTTCCAGAGTGAAAAGAGAGGCAACATACCTCATCCGCGTTGGCTCTTACAAGGCTTTCGTGAGGCTGTCTGGGCAAGCGGTTTGCTGAATTTTTCATTTGATGGATACCAATTCACTTGGGAAAGAGGAAGAGGTACTAGTAGATTGGTTCAAGAGAAATTGGATCGGATTTTGGTTTCACCATGCTGGGAGGAACGATTTGCAGGAGCAAAGGCAGTCTCGATTGAAGGGACACCGAGTGATCATTTAGGCCTCTACATAAAGCTTGGTCCGAGATTGAGATATAATCGAAGGAGACGATTTAAATTTGAAAATTTATGGTTAAGGGAGGAGGATTGTAGGGAAGTTGTTGAACGGAGCTGGGGTTTGAGTAGAGGGCTTGGCCTGGAAAATCAAATCAAACTATGTGGTGAGGCTGTTGGAAGGTGGGGGGAAAGAAAAAAGGGAATGAGAGGGAGGATTGAGTTCTGTAAAAAACGGCTACAATTTCTAAGAGGCAGAATTGATAGTTTTAGTTTGAGTGAGTTTGGAAAAGTGAAAGCGGAATACTTAGAATTACTTGAAAAACAAAATTGTTTCTGGAAACAGAGGGCTAAAGAGTTTTGGCTGAGAGAAGGCGATATGAATACGAGATTCTTTCATAACTCGGTGAAGCAAAGGAGGCGAAGGAACCAAATAGAGGGTTTTAAAGTGACAGGGGGGAGATGGGAGAAGGAGAGGTCAGAAGTGGGCAGGATGGTGGAGGAGTATTTTTCTAATATTTTTACTTCTTTGCAGGGTAATATGGATCCAGTCCTGTTCACCGTTGATCATTTGGTCTCGGATGATCAGAATCAGTACCTCTTGAGGCCTATTAGAGAAGAGGAGGTCAGAAAGGCAATTTTTTCAATGCATCCTGACAAGAGTCCGGGGCCCGATGGTCTTAGTCCGGGTTTCTTCCAGCACTTTTGGGAGGTGGTGGGGCCCGAAGTGGTTGATTTCTGCAAGCAAACTTTCCTTACGGGTAAGCTCCCTGAAACAGTGAATCATACACATATAGTCCTCATCCCCAAAAAGGATAAGCCTGAGACAGTAGCCGATTGGAGACCTATTTCATTGTGTAACGTTGTTTATAAAATTTTCTCCAAAGTTTTGGCTAATAGAATGAAACAGATGCTTGATGGGCTTATTTCTCAGAACCAAAGTGCGTTTATTCCCGGTCGATCAATAGTAGATAATATAATGATAGCTTTCGAAACCCACCACTTTCTTAAGAATAAAAGGCAAGGTCGGGACGGGTATGCGGCACTAAAACTTGATATGAGTAAAGCATATGACCGGGTAGAATGGGGTTTTCTAGAATGCATTTTGTTAAGACTGGGATTTGCATCTAAGTGGGTGGACTTAATTATGGAGACAGTTCGTACGGTGTCATACTCTATCCCTTTCGATGACACCGAGCTAGGGCCAATTTTTCCTGGCAGAGGGATTAGGCAAGGTGACCCACTCTCACCTTACTTATTTATAGTTGTGGCGGAAGGGTTAAGTGCTAGATTAAGGAGGGAAGAAAGAATGGGGAGTCTTAATGGGGTGGCAGTTGCTAGAGGGGCTCCTAGGATATCTCATCTATTGTTTGCGGATGATAGTTTTCTGTTTTTTAAAGCATCTCACAGCGAGGGGTCAGTGATTAGGGAGGTTTTACAAGAATATGAAGAAGCTTCAGGCCAGATGATTAATTATCATAAGTCTACCCTTTATTTTAGTGCAAATGTTGGTGGGGATGTTCGGGAGGGACTCAAGGAAATGCTAGGGGTAGGGCCCATGGAGGCCGGGGCAAAATACCTCGGTCTACCTTCTCTTGTTGGCAGAAGTAAGAGGGAGGTTTTGGGGTTCATAAAGGAACGAGTTATTAAGCGAATAAATGGGTGGAATCACAAATTTTTATCTAAAGCAGGTAGAGAAGTACTTTTGAAAACCGTTGTCCAAGCCATGCCTAACTATGCAATGAACGTTTTTCTGCTTCCTCGTGACATGTGCATGGAATTAGAACGACTTATGAATGGATTTTGGTGGACAGGTGCATCAGGAAGAGGTATTCGTTGGAAGGATTGGGCTGGGATGAGTTTTCCGAAGAAAAAGGGGGGAATGGGATTTAAAAGGATGCGGGAATTCAATTTGGCAATGCTTGGAAAACAAGCTTGGAGGATCTTTAAGCAGACAGATTCCTTAGTTGCCAGGGTTCTTAAGGCAAGGTATTATCCTCGCTCTTCCTTCATAGAGGCTAAACTTGGGCACAATCCATCATTTGTATGGAGAAGCATTTTTGAAACACAATCTCTTATAAAACAAGGGTTCGTCTGGAGAGTGGGTAAGGGTGAATTAATTAATGTTTGGCATGATCCTTGGTTAGCTTGTCCTGATAACCCGAAAGTGGAGTCTGATGTAATTGAGGGGTTGGAAAATTGTACGGTAGCAGGCTTATTAGAGGCAGGAGGAGGAGCCTGGGACATTGATATTCTTAATGATTTGTTCAATAGTAGGGACCGTAAATTGATACTTAAGATTCCGGTGAGTCTCCGTAAAGTCCAAGACCAAGTTATTTGGAGGTGGGAGGAGAACGGGAGATACTCTGTCAGGAGCAGCTATCGGTTCCTAACGCAGAATGCTGAGGATAATCAAAGCCTTGGGTGGACAAATGTGTGGAAACTTAACATCCCTCCGAAGGTAAAAATCTTCTTTTGGCAAGTGTGTGCAGGCTGCCTACCTACGGCTAACAGTTTAGCGGCCAAGCGGGTGGGTTATTCTTTGCTTTGTCCCACGTGTTCTTCAGGGGAAGAGAACTTGCTGCATACATTCAGGTTCTGCCCTATAGCGCAGCAGG